TCCTGATTTTCTGAATTGGCTTTGTTGTTAGTCAATTCTTACTCGGTTTGGAGTATTTTCCTGATTATTACTATTTGTGGGTGAACCTGTTTGCTGCAGTAGTTCACTTGAGACGCCAAATCTTTTACTATGATGACTTTTGTTGTTTGGGTAGTAATTTGCGATTTTGTACTTGCCTCTTTATTACTGCAGTAATTTGATGTTTGATGGGCTGGACTTGTGATTCATGTTATGCTTTCTTGTTTTACTGCAGCAATTGTGATGTGAAAATGAGTTGCACTGAGTAGTGAATTGCATCCTCTTACTGTGAACCAAATTCTTTCTTTTTTGTGATTTGTAGTACAGGAAACAGGCTCGTGATTGCTTGTTTGAAATCTGACTTGTGTGAACCAAAATTGCATGATGCCTTTGCATTGTTTTGAGCATGATTTGAAAATACCATCCCTATATTCTGATTCCTTATCAAACCCTAATGATGAGTTGAGAAAAAAAGAAAATCTTTAGCGCGGAAGCTTGTTTTTGTTCATGTTTTGGTCTTTTGATCTCTTGCTAACAATTGCTTTTTCTTTTGTTTCATGAACAAATGATGATGACGAGGGAGAAAGTTGGTGACAACATGGCAAGACTTAGAAAAGCTTGAAGCACTCAAAGAACCTTGAAGTTCAAAATAACCTCCATGTAGTTTAAAACAACTTGTATTAATTAGGAGAATATTGTAATTCAAGCTTGTAGTTTGCATTTTTGAGAATTAGAAACTTGTAATTGGTAGTGAAATTAGAGATAGGTACATTCAAACTTTGTACTTTGTAAACTTGAACATCAATGAATCTTTGAGAAACTTGTGGCTTGTACAAATCAAAGCTTTCGAAATAACGAAATCAAACTTCATACTCTCTTTAATTCTTGCCAAAACTTGGAGATTACCTTATGCCAAATATATTTTGAAGTGGACTTGATTCAAGTATTAATTAGTATACTTCTTTGAGTTTTAACTAATGAATGTAACTTGAAAAACTCAAAAGATCTTTCATGACTTTGAATTTGGTTTCGTAAACCTTGCATTTGCGCTCCAAGAACTTTAATTCAATAATTTCTTATGTGAATGTACCTTAGTCCAATTCTTAATGAAATCTAAACTCAAAATTTGAAACCAACTTACTTGGTAAGCAAAAATAGGAGATCCCTTGGAAATGAACATAAAATTCAAATAGATAAACACCTTGATATGAAATCTATCAAACCTCAGTTGAATTCCAGATCAACAAGTCCAATCATCACAAACTCAAAACCCTAATTCTCATTGAAAAAGATAGGAGATAGAGTGTCAACCTCTAACCTCTGGTATATCTAAATCATCTGATGAAATAGTGAATACCTTCAGAAGTCTTAAGGCCCGAGAAGTCTTAGTAGCCTGAATGATCAGAATAGTGAGGATATGAGACTCTCCTCACAATGATTGACAAAACAACCATATTTCATCGTTTTGAGAACTAAAATTCCTTGATCCCATCACAATGCATGAATGCCTATGATGAAACATAAGTACTAAAAGTAGAATGAAGAGGGCAAATTTTGGGGTGCAATAATATATATATATATATATATATATATATATATATATATATATATATATATATATATATATATATATATATATATATATATATATATATATATATATATATATATATATATATATATATATATATATATATATATATATATTATCATTTGTAAGAAAGAGAATTAAGTTCAAGTGTGAGTAATTAAGTTTTACATTGTTAATGAATGAATAAAATATTAAATTTATAAGAGAATGGACTCATATGCCTAGAGTTTTAGGCTTTGTTGGAGAGTTTGGAGGGGATGGGGGGGAATGGCTTTGAAAAATAGAAAGGATTGAGTGAAAAAATTAAAAAGATTATGGTTGAATGACAACTTGTTGTTGTGAGAGATCCAACGACAAGTGATTTTCTTAATAAAAATAGTTGAATGAGTAGGATAGGGATATTCACTTGCATAACTTACTTAGAGATAAGAAGCTACAACTATCAAGGATTTTAGAATACTAATAGATGCATATTAGGGTTATAAGTGAGGCTTAGAGATTTGTTCCCTTACCCTTGTTATGCATGCTTTGATGTTGTAGAGACACACTACAAGATCATTCTGACCTCACCAGTCACGACACCACACATCATAATCACTTGATTACACTAATGATATTAATAGAACATAGTTCAACTCAATCACTCTTAATATATTTTCACTCCTTCTCACTTTACTTTTGACATCTGTTTTAAGTAAGCTTGAACTCATAAACACCAATTATTATTTCTCTCTGCTCATACTTAAATCAAAAGAATAATTTTCATACAAAAATCAAATCTAAGTAATAACACTTCATGTGAATACGATACTATTATATTTATTACTTACTACAATCACAACATGTATACTTGTATGTGACACTCTTTTAATAATTGTGAACAGGAGGCAGACACCAAATCCTAAAAAGTTCGAGATATTTTCCTAGAGAGGAAGGAGATCATCTTCTTATAATCTCATTTTCCTTTAAAAAAAATCTCATTTCCTTAAAAAAATTAAAAAATATTCACTGAAACCATAATGGTAAAAAAAAAAAAAAAAAGACGACCAAACTAGGCATCACAACTTTTTTATGTAATTCTAAAACTCTTACGACTTACAAAAAATAAGTATTCAATTTTTTCTATTACGACACTTACAACATATTACCTAAAAATGTGCAATAACATGTCAGCGTGTGAGAGCACATGGATATGCTACTAATTTGTATTTATAATACAAAATTCTCTTAATTTTAGAGTATTAAATTATATTAAATTTAGAGGATTTTAAATTGTTTAAATAAATTCTTCATATATAATTTATATTGTTATAATATTTTGAAAATTAAAAATATATTAATAAATATTTATTTATCATTCTATACAAATATCATCTCAAAAAAAAATTAAAGATTTTTTTATTTTTATCAAATTCACTCCCTCCAAAACTCTTTTTTCTCCTCCCTCTAAACTCGGAATAATAAGAGTTTAGAAGGAAGAGAAAATGAAGAGTTTCGAAAAGTAAATTTAAGTAAAAAAATTAAAAAATCTTTAATATTTTTTAAAAGAATGATTTTACATAAATAATAAATTAATTTTTATCATCAATACATCAATACATTTTTAATTTTTAAAATATTATAACATCATAAACTAAATTAAAAGGTTTTTGTATTAAGAATAAAATGACCACCAAACTCTTTCCACCTAAATTCTTCTATTGTTTTTACTCCATCCTTCCATTTCCTTCAAATCTCTCCCCTTCTCCCCTCCCTCCATACTCCAAAAAAGCCTAAATATTAAATGATAGCCACAACAGGCACATAAACTTCCCGTGGAAATTAGTCAAGAACATCCTACTGCCTGCAGAAGAGAACGTAGGTAAAAATAAGCTATAAATTTGATACGCACCTTCTAATGCATTGCCAACCAACCCTTAAGACTTGGTTCTCTAGCTTGCTGGGTATCAGACCGCCTTTGAACCAAAATCCAATCAACTACCATTGGCTCTATTGTGGTGATACCTTAGCAACCCAGATGTTTTGCTCATTGCTTTGGAATATTTGGGATGCATAGTTTTGAGTCTGCTATTTTTGCAAGTACAGCTTACCAGGTGATTTGTGAGTTTAATGTGGATCCGAGGGAATGTGGATGCAGGATGTTTTCAACATTGGCTAGCTAGGACCTGATAAAAATCTAATGCTGGTAATGTCAATTTGTTTGCCTGCAAATGCAAGAAGCTCCACCCTATCTGGTCAAAAGCTTTGGTTTTTCTTGGGTGCCTGGGAGTTAATTGTGATCTCTCTTTCCAAAATGTGCTCATCGAGTGAGAAGCCAAATTGTCTGCATTCTAGATAAGGCTAGCAAGGCAAGTATATATCAAATCATCCAAGACATTCGTTTGTTGTTGCAACAGAGAACATTAGTCATAATATCCTTTGTGCAAGTAGAAGTAGAAATGATGTAACCTTTGTGCTTAGTTTACTTGTCTAACTAATCCTTCAGATTTACTTAATCTAAGAGCTATTTCTACTCGTCAATACAAAATACAAACAATTCAGTCGTGTGCCTTTTAAGACCAAAATTTCTAAGCCAAGCAAAAAACATTTTTCATTTATGACTTCTAAACAAATTTCTAAGACTTCTAAACAAAAATGGATACATTGTCAAATAGATGTTTAATGATTATGAATGGATTAACATTATAAAAAGTGTTACACTATTAATCAAATAGATGTTTAGTGACAATTTTCAAAAAAAATAATAACAAATTAGCACAATAGTAAATCAGGTGTCAGAAATACGGTCAATACATATCCATTTAACTCTAAAAAGTAATGGCCTATCAACTATAGGTATATTACCGAAAGTAATCATCAACTTCTTCCTTCTCTCACTCAAAGCAACATATATCCCGTCCTTTATCAACCATATGACAACCTCAAAAATGTTGTTCAATTAAAAGGGGGGAAATGAAGAACCAAGTAAAGACGGTTGATAGGACACAGGCCAGTGCAAATAGTGCAAAAGCTATAAAAAAACTTGGCATAGTATCATCAAAACTCCTTTGATTCAACTAAATTAACTTCATAATACAGGTGTAGTTGCCTCATTGGCATTTTGCCAGCATGGTAATGTAAAGGCATAGGACACTGAAATTTTAAGACTCAACAAGCAAAAAACATAAAATAAATTATAAAATGGTCAAACTAAAGTAAACCTCAAAGTAGCATTGACCTCAACTATTCTGTGACATCTGAACAGGTTTTGAGCTAAGTGTACAACCTCCGCATTACGCACTTTATTACGAGGCAATTGTTTTGCTGTACCCATTGTGGATGATGTGAGCTGAAGAGAAAACCGCTATTTGATGCAACCAACTGCCAGTAATGCAGAACATTCTCCAAGTACTCAGAACTGGGAGTTGAAAAGTACAGACAGTTTATTGAGATCCACAGATTCCATGTTGGGGTACAAAACAGCAGCACCAACAGCCAAAGAAAGAACAACAAAGGTCAAACAAGCCTTGCCCCCGTGGCCTTGAGAAACTCTTCCTGAGATTATCTTACAGTATTTATCTGCATCCTTGAAGAATCGAGCAGCATCGGTCTCAGATGCCAAAGCTTTCTCATTCTGCAGCCAAAACAGTTAAATCATCATATATACCAAGTTCAAACATTCTGCGCTACTTCAATACAATAAAAACAATTCAATCAGTCCATGTCAAGGTGGACTGGCAAGTGATCCCAGATGCAATAAACTGATAGTACAAATCAAGTAGACAGATGGCTGAAAAACTACCTTTTGTCTAAAATTCCTTATAATCTCCCTAAGTGGCTCATAAGGAGACAATTTTGTAGCTTGCACCTTCCAATCATCAGAAAGCTTCTTTAAAACTGCAACGCTTGCGACAATGTTGTCCAGATAAACTTTTTCCTGCCCATATCCAATAAAGAATAAGAGCAAATAATTGTAGAGCTTCATGATTGCTGTGTATAAATAAATAAATAACTTCTCTCTTGTAAAATGTTACAAAAAACTAGCAAGATCTTAAATATCTTTTAGATGGAACAACTCACCCACTGCTTGTAGCATTCAGAGCTTTGGCTAAAACACCAAATTGAAATACCAGCTGCTTCTTTTGATAACTCAGGATTGTCTGAAAAATACAAATATGTTTTTAAAAACCTTCTAAAACACTAGGATCATCAAAAGCAAGAAAAGAGAATAGAAGTCAAACAATAAAATCAGGTTTCCATACCTTCTCCTGCTGCTATGATAGCGAAATTGAATATCTGCTGGGAGACTTGTTTCATTGCCTTACTTCCAGTAGAACCACCAAGAGCCACCTCTCTCAGAGCGGGATATATGGCCTCAAATCTTTCTGTAGCCTGTATAAAAGCAACATGTTGACATAAATTTGAAAGCCTTAGAGCTATAACACATTTAAATGCAAAAATAACAGAGGAAGCTGAACATCACCTTAAGTCTAGCTGAAGACGGAAAAGTAACACGCAGCAAAGTCTCAAATGCGGGAGGAGGAATTAATCGTTCCCCTTTTCTTACAGCACCATTAACCAAAATAGGCCGTGCTTTGGGGGTAGACAAAATTCTGCAAAAAAATTTAAAAAAATAAGATTATGGTGAAGATGTCAACAGCAATAGTGAGAAAGGAGTGGAAAGGATACCACAAATTTTACATACTTTTCCACAAGCTGCAAAACTAAATCCCTGGATTGCGGGTTCCCACTTTTGCTAACAACTATAGGAAGGAGGTTCCGCGACCAAGCATACAAACCTACTGAGAGATCTCCTACTGAAGCCTACATAGAATGTTTCAATACTAAGCATTAGCAAGATGAAGGGGTAAAAAGCTATAGTTATCCTTTTGAAAGAATAAAAGAAGAATTTTTTTTTCTATTTCTAATTTCTAACAAGTCCACTTAGTTGATTTGGCATGTACTCCTTACCTGAGCAACCATCCATACAATCACTGGAAGTTTATCTTGTCCTTGATATTTTGTATTCTCCCTCAATGTGGGCAATACAGCAATAAGAGCATCAGGCTTTCGGCGCAATACAATCGCTAAACCAACAAATATTGCAACCTGCAGGTCATGTGAATACAATCTCAATCTTCATCTGAAAAACATATTTGCATTTTGAAAGGCTATAAATATAAATAATCATATTAAATCCAGGGACCAAAAGTCACAAAAATCTGATCAGTTTTTTTTACAAGCCTCTGATAAATAAAATCCTCTTTGTTTGAAGTCTGAAAACAGGGAAACAACAATGCAGAGCAACTCTCTAAATCAAATTTAACCAACTGGAGTGTAGCGACGGAAGCATTTGTTTTCGTTTCTGCTACTTTTCATTTCCTAGTGCTATCAACTTTAAGAGAAAAACACCATGTGAACTGAATATTGAAAGTCAAACAGGCTACATTATTTTGCCAACTGTTCACAACTACCCAAAGGTGGACAAAGCACATGGATATTGGACCTCCAAAGTCACTAAATGTCATCACAACCAACAGCCACCAAGACTTATCCCACTAGATTGGGTTGGCTACATGGATTAAATGCCCCTACAATAGGGGGGAAATATTTCAAAAATTATAAATGCATATGATGATTTTTTCCATTCATAAAAGCACTCCTGAATTGACTGCCTATCCAATAGGGCTTGCCAGAAGAAGTTCCTTTATCTGTCTTGATGTTGACCATTCATTCATATTGAATGAACAAGTCAATGAAGATGCAACAGAAAAGGAGAAGATGAGAAAAAAAACTAACTGAAATTAATCAATGGAATGCCTCCTCCCAGCCTCTCAAAATTTAACACCAACCAGAGCCACTAGAACAGTTAAAACAAGATGTTCATCACAAGACCTTACGACTTATCCCAAAAATATATCAAAATATCAAATTGCACTGCCACTGTGGCACATGGTAGAGAATATCAGAATCATTCATTAATCCAGTATCCCTATTGAGTTTGACATTTTGGTTGGAAAGAAATATTTGGACTTGTAAAGGGAAGTGCTATAGTCATACATTTAATCATTCTTTGGGACAAGTTTATTTTCTAGGCCTATCTTTGGTGTTAGGGGCATGGGTTCTTCCAAAGTGTACACTGGCCCTTAATCGTGAACAGAAAAACATACTGCTACGCCTTGGCTTAATATGGTTTCTGCTGCTGGTAACGTTACTATTAGATTTCACATAGGAGAAAAAAGAAATTAAACATAAAAGAATACAACCATAATTTCATGGCAAAGAACACTAGTATAAGTTACCTGAGACTTTGAAGTTAATGGTTGCACAGCCTTTTTGGAACCCTTGGTCACAATCTGCTGGCTACCCAAGTCAGCAAGAATACTATCCAAAGACCAAAGAATAAAGAAACTGAGTGCCTCAGGAGATCGATGATTTATCCAGTCAGCTGATGTCTTGTATACAGCATCCGATACGTGAGAAAGTGGCACCTGATAAGATATAAATATTTAGTAATAAGTAATAAAATTCACGGGGAGAAAATCAGAAAATAGAACCGATATTATGATAAACAGCATTATGATAAAATGTAGAATGTGTAAAATATTTTTCAAACGTCAATTTACCAACACATAGAAATAGATTCAGCATTATTAGCTAAACAGTAGATGCAGAATCATATAAACACTTCAGTCATGTTGTATGGGCAAGTATGAAAGCATTAAAAAATAAAATATCTAATACCACGACAAGTTAATATTTTAACTTCATAACAATTCATGTATGAGAAGCATCCAACGAACAATCAAAAGAACTACATAAGCTAGCATTGTAAAGGATTCACACATTGAGAAGTAATATAGAAGTTCATGCAAAAATTCTATTTGAAGTTGCACTTTTTCCTTACTGAGGAATGAGGATCAAGGATTTCTGCTATTCAAATTTGTAGAAAGGGGCCGTATAAGTGTGATTTCCTATCATAAACCCTCATCATATGGGGTTTCCAGACGCAAAGATGAATTTTTAGCACAGATTAATCACAAATCATGTAGCAGAAATTGGGCAACTTACACAATCAAAGCATTGTATTGTAACCCAGCTAATAATAAGCAGTGATTCATCAAAAAACAACAATACATATATCACAATTGCACTCATAAATTAACCACCATCATTCTCATATATCACCATTACACACATAAATTAACCACCACCATTCTCATGATAACAGTTAAATCTTCCAATTCCATGACTTCTCATCACATTGTTAAAATCAACAACAGAACATATATCACAATTACACACATAAAATTAACCAGCATAATTTTCATAATAACAGTTAAATCCTTCAATTCCACAACTTCTCATCACATTGTTAAATCAACGGGAATGAACGACAAAATAAAGAAATTTCAAACTCACATCAACAATCTTAGCTACAGCTGACTCCCTGAACAATTTCACCCAGGGAAACTGAGAAGCGCTCACTGAAGAAAAAGCACGTCCAAAATAATCCGCAAACCGCATCATCTGTATATCCTCCTTCTGATCGAAGGATGCCTATTTTAAAAACAAACATGCAAACAAGATCATACACAATGAGTGATCTCTTGATCGAGCTTCTGCTCTAACGCAATCCAACGGATCAAATCCAAACATAAAACCCAATCACGCGTGTTTAAATTCAAAATTAACCAAATCAAATACCATACCGATATTTCAACGAGAAAAGACTCCAGATCAGCCGCATCAATTTTTGCCGCAGCCTCAGCCACCGTCACCTTAGGCTTCTTCGGCTTCTTCTCCTTCTTCACCTTCTTCGCCTCCTCCACTTTCCCGTTCTCCGCTGATCGATCCACATCCTCATCATCCTCATCAAAGTCATCATCATCTCGACGCGACCTCTGCTTCGATCTGACCGGAGCGTCATCGAAATCGGCATCCGCCGCAGACTGCGCCTCGAGAATGCGCCGACGTCGATCCTCCGAGTGCAGCTCGAGCGACCGGAAGGCAGCATCGTTGCCGTTAAACGTCAGTTTGTTAGAACCGGCGACGCCATTAGCTTCCTTCTTCTTATGCTTCTTAGCGTAGGTAACCTTCTGCCAGCCGTGATCGGCGGTGCGAGATACTCCGTTAGTTTCGGCGGCGAAGGCGGAGTCGAAGGGAGCGTAGGTTTCATCCATGGCGGTAACTGTATCTGAATATTCGAGAAAATCAAAATCAAAATCGAAATCGAAATCGAAATCGAAAACGAGGGAGAAATTGATTGAAAGGAAGAGAGAAAGTGAGAAACGAAATTGGAGAAGAAGGTGAAAGGGAAATTTGGATGTTAGAAAGAGTTGACTTGTTGGAATTGACCTCACTCTCACCACGAAATTACCGCAATGCCAAGGGGTAGTTGTGTTGAAATGATCACGTGTTATATCCAATAGCTTCTCAACACCTGTTTATTTCAGATCTGTACGCAACACGTGTTTGATTGAAAGCTCTAAATTAAAACAATTATTACTTGCCCTTTTCAGAGAAAAAACAATTATTACATGCAATTTTGAGATATGGAAAAAAACAATTGGCTAGTTTTATCATTACTCTCCCTTGATTGGATTTTTGTATTTTGATGACTCATGCATCTACATTCACTGGTAAATGGATATATTAGTCATTTTCATTTATCATTTCAAAGTTATCTACTCGAAATAAAATACTATTGTCATTTCACGATAATATTTTCATGTCATATAAAAAATTATAAAAGAATATATTCTCTAGAAATATTTATAAATAACAAAAAGTTTTTTAAATTTATTAAATAAATAATATATTTAGTCATTATTTTATATTAAATATATTAATTTATGAAGAAAAAAATTATTATTTATAAATGTGTCCGAAAAATATATATTTTAATTATAAAATAAATTTTAATTTTTTATATTAATTAAATAAATAATATATTTAATATTTTTTTTAATATATTAATTATTTAATAATTTAAAAAAATAAAGTTTTTTTATAATAAAAATTAAATACAGTATAATTATATAATTAAAAAAGTTTAACTATAAATAAATGTAATAAAATCACATTTAAAATTTTAAATATTAATAGACGCGTTATAATAAAATATTTTTATAAATAACTTATTAAGCACATGTTAACTTTTTTTTCTTATTTAAGATTATGGAAATTGTTCTGGACTGGGCCCGCCCTGGCCCAAGAGTAAGAACGAAGGCCTAATCCAAGCAACTCTTCAAGGAGCGCGCGTCCGAGGATTTTCGTCAGCGCGTCGATCAGAAGTTGCAGTCGTGTCTGTCGTTGCCCGCGAACATGGTGTCCTCGACCACGTGAACTCCAGCTCGAGCACCCTCTTCGTAGGGCAGACTCTGACCGTTACCCAATCACCTGAACTTCGGAAAGACCGCGTCCTCGTCCCTCCTCGTTTCTCGCAGAGCATCACCAGGAAGGAGATCACGTGCGGGTCCCCACTACACATGTAGAACCTGGCAGTCCCTTTATTGGGTCAGTCCTGGTCGGCCCAATGAAAGGACTTTGGCCCCGCGCTGGGGGCTATAAATACCCTTTGTTCCCAGAGGGTCAGGTATTCATTCTCTTACCCATACATACACTTTTTGCATGCTCGTACCATCACTCATTTTAGCATCGGAGTGCCTTGCAGGTACCCCCCCCCCCATCTCACTCAACTTTTGCTCGGAGCCAGTCGTGATGGTCCAAGTCTGATCAGGTAAGATCAGTGGCGCCGTCTGTGGGAATCTAGCTTCCCCGTCTTGCAAAACCTCGAAGACCAAAGCTCAAATCACCTCCTACCGTCATGGCTGACCAAATTTGTGATTATCAAAACATCTGCGTCGTCGACACCACCAACGGCCTCGCAGATAAGAGTGGACTCACCGACAACACCGGTAGCCCCGGTCATAACACACTCCCCGGGGGAACCGCCCCCGGGCCCTCAATCCACCGCGACGGAGCTACCGTCTTGTCCTCCCCAGTCCCTCCGCCGCTCGAAGAAGACAATGCAGCTCCCACAAATCATCGAGCTGCCCAATTTCAGGAAGTCCATGTCCCCGCCGGGGCAGATGCCACAACCTGCGCGCTATTCACGGCGATCAATCAGATGAATTACCTCATCTTCGCCCAAGGGGAAATATTGAGGGCACTGGAAGACGATCGAAGACCCGCGAAGAGGCACAGGAGGCCCCAGACTCCACCTCCTCGAGTAACAGAGGTACATCTCCCGTCTCCCCCGCGGAGACAATACAGAGACGCCTCTCGAAGCCCGTCACCCCGACCCTCGGGGAGACGACCCCCTTTGGAGAGGCAACCCGTCATTGAGGTCGGAGGGCGCGACCACGCCCCCTCACGGCAAGAGAGAAGACACTCTGGAGACAGGCATGGAAGAATTGATCCACGAGCACCACGCTCGAGAGATGCCCAGCACGATCAGGACCGTCGGGCACGACAATATTACAGGTCTCCATCCTTGTCCCCAGAGCAAAGTGACGAGGACGACCCCCGCGGTCCCCTGTCACAAGCCATCATGGAGGCGCCCATTCCCCCGAGCATGGAGAAGCCTCCACATCTAAAGGAATACGATAGAGTCGCAGACCCGGTCGACCACATAGACGGGTTCGAGGCTATGCTGCACTACCACAATGTCGGGGGACCCATCAAATGTCGGTTGTTCCCCACGACCCTCAGAAAGGCAGCAATGGATTGGTATTAAGGCTTCGCTCCGGGATCAATCACCACGTGGCGAAACCTGAAGAACCAATTCATAAGTTCGTTCATTGCGTCTCGGCGACACCCAAAGACCGAGACGGCTCTCGAGGCCATCATCCAGAGACAAGATAAAACCTTGAGAGAGTTTATTAATCGCTTCAATCGCGAATCCATACAGGTCCCCTGCACGGACCACATGAAAAGATACTTGTTAGAGAGGGGGCTCCTCCCCGGCACAGAATTCAGAAAGGTAGTGGGCATCGAGCCACCTAGAACATTCGATGCCCTCCTCGAGAAGGCCCGAGCGTATATGGATTACGAGGAAAGGGAGGCGGCCAACAGAGCCTGGGACCCCAGGACTCGCGGATCCAGCAGCAACCCGCACCAGGAAGCTGCTCCTCCTCGACGAATCGGGGAGAAAAGAAAAGAGGACATACCCCGAGAAGTCCGAGAGCAAAGAGGACCCTCGGGGCGTTTTACCGAATACACTCCGCTCACAGCTTCCCGCGAGCGCATTTTGGCGGAGTGTGCCAGCACAAACTTTAAAGACGGCGGCGTCAAACGCCCCCGACCTGCTCCCGCCAAGCCCGAAGCAGACAAGAGCAAGTAATGTCAGTACCACAGGAGCCATGGTCATCTGACTGAAGATTGCGTCCACCTCAAGGACGCCATCGAAACCCTCATTAAGGGAGGGAGGCTCGCCCAATACCGGCGAAATGACGCTCCTCGTTGTGAGGCACGGGAGGCAATAGAACCGGAGGAAGACGCCCGACCATATGACGAGTCGGTCCTCGTCCAGACCGCCTTCTCCGTCACCAGACCCGAGGACTTCTACGTCCCCGAGCACCTGCAGGAGCCGCTCACGACACACAGCAGGTGGGAATACTTTCCCTCCGGCATGGTCATCTATGGTGGAGGATTCAACGATCTGACTATCAATTCGGCTAAAAGAAAGCTGGATGAACTGGTCGACGCGGCACCTCCGTAAACAGTGACCTTTGAAAGGGTAAAAGGTAGGTCGGGGCCTATCACCTTTTACCTGGAAGAGCTCCCCGGAGGAGCCCCTAACGCAGTCATTCCTCTGCTGATAAGAGTAAGAATGGCTAACTTTGATGTGCACCGCATCCTCGTCGACGAAGGAAGTTTCGTCGACGTGATGTACAGTCAATTGTTCCAGACTCTGCAGCTGGATGACTCGCATCTCTCGCCATATGTAGGTTTGGACTTACAAGGCTTCAACGGCTCGACCTCCAAGCCTTGGGGATATGTCGAGCTCATGGTTACCTTCGGAGAGGGCACGTCGATAAGGCAGGTTAAAGTACGCTTCCTCGTCATCGACTGCCCGTCCCTTTACAACTGCATCCTGGGGAGACCAACACTGAAAGAACTGACAGCGGTATCCTCCACCATCCATTTGAAGATGAAGTTCTACACCAAGAGGGCACGGGTAGCTACCATCCAGGGGGACCTAGCCGCTGCTCGAAGGTGTTTCAACGCCGCATCTAAAGGACGCGACACTGTCGACACCGGGACAAGGCCCGCCAAGAGACTGGAGACGACGCAACAGGAACCCGATAAGCCAGAGCCCGCCAAAGAGGAAGACCAAAGAGCTCCACCAAAGGTCGACTCCATAGCTTTGGATGCTCGTTTCGATCAGGACGAACCTCCCAATGGCGAGCAAATCCCCCTCCGACCAATCTCGGACGGGGACTTCGAGCTCGTCCCCCTCGGCGAGGACCCAAGCAAAGGAGTGAAGATTGGTATCGACCTCCCCGACCTGGCAAGGAAGCAAATCAAAGCCTGCTTGCACGAGAATGCTGACCTGTTCTCCTGAAGCGCCGCGGAGATGCCCGGACTCGACCCTGAGGTCGCCTGTCACCGTCTCGCCATAGATCCTGCCGCTAAGGCTGTAGTACAACGTAGGCGTAGGCAGTCTCCGGAGAAAACGGAGGTTGCTGAAAAAGCTGTAAAAGACCTCCTAGAGGCGAATTTTATTTCTGAAGCCCCGTATTCAACCTGGCTGTCAAACGTTGTACTAGTTAAAAAGAATAATGGAAAATGGCGGATGTGTGTTGACTATACCGATCTCAACCGGGCTTGCCCGAAGGATGCTTTCCCTTTACCGAACATAGATATATTGGTCGACAACTCAACCGACTACAAGACGTTGTCATTCATGGATGCCTATTCGGGCTATAACTAAATCCCAATGGCCATGAGCGACAAATATTGCACGGCCTTCATGACCAGCTCGGGCAATTATTACTACAACGTAATGCCCTTTGGACTAAAAAACGCAGGGGCAACTTACCAACGTATGATGAACAGGGTGTTCCACAAGCAGATCGGAGACATGCTCGAGGTCTACATGGATGACATGATCGTTAAATCCCGAGCAGACACCGACCATGCAGCACACCTCAAGGCAGTCTTCGCCCAAGCAAGA